ATCAATTTTTAAATCGAGCCCAAGGTAGAACTAGAATAAGTTCTATATTTTAGGTTGATCCAGTATTATATAATTTTTTTCATACATAAATATACTTAATTATTTGTCTAATAATTTTTCATATAAATATATAATTTTTTTACAAAAACTAAATAAACATTCCAAGAATATGCATACATTTTCTTATTTTTGTTATAAAAAATAACCATAATATATTTGCCGATTTTTAAAGAAAAAAACGTGGGTTAAGTGACCATGAATTGGGTATGAATGAAGATAATTCTCCAAGAATTTAAATGTAGGCATAAAAATTGATCTTAATCTAACATCTAAACAACTTTTAATGTTTAATGCCAGTACTATCCCTCAAATTAGTTCATAATATTCAAAACTGAGAAATTATAATATAATTTAAATTGATTATTACCCACTTCCCAAAAGGGCCTAAATATATAAAATTACGTTAAAAGTCTTTATTATGTAAAAACAACTTTGTTAGTATTTTTATTAGATGAGAAACAAAGCAGTGATTTTACCTGCAATGCCATGTGGTGGATTTAAATACCACACATCTCCTATGGAATTTTAGTCCTCTTATTAGAAGATATTTCTATAACTATATCTTCGAGCAAATATAATTTTTATGGGACTCACAATATTAATAATCCAATCTCATGGATTATAGAGGAAAATAACGTGATCATAAGAATAAACAATTTAGTTTGTTTGACAAATCTAATAGTCATCCTAGAGCATTTCCAAAATAACTTTTTTGGGTGGATATTTCCAAAATAACTTTATTAAGTATGAGTATTGATTTTTGACCTCACAATCAAATAGAGAACTTAACTGGAAAGCACGCGGCGAAATAGATTAAACCAAGCACCTGTCAACAAGAATATAAGAATACCACGGTGGCTCGTTTATTCGGGATCACTCCGACGATTAAGTCAGTAAACTTATCTCTCAAAAATATCAAACAAGTATTCAATGCATAAGTAAAAACATACCTTAGATCCAGAGGGTGTCTTACTTTTATAGCCTACAATGCCCTCATCTCCTAGAAGTCTCATTTTATAGGACTCAAGCACAATGCTTATCTCAGATTTTTAGTTAAATATAGATGAACTCCTCAAAATCTCATCCTTATCCGAACTAAGCACATCACTTCTCTAGGACTCTTTTTCCTTATCTAAATATCTCGGATTCCAGTATTACTGCACCAGATCTCGGCAATACCGCAATCATATTGGCAATCTGGCTCGTCCACGTGGCACCTCGGCCAACACCTCGGCCACATGGCACACCCTCGAAAATACGTCCCCACAACTACCATTTAGGTTCTATTAGCTCGACAATCTGAGGTGATGGAACCTATATCGTCTGATTTTCCAACATGTCGGCTAAACAACATGCTAGAGATACTCCTCCAACTGAGATCATGGCTTATCGACGTTAAGAAATAGAGACTCAAATGTCCACTCGTCAAAAATCAAGAACCAAGATTCAAGAATCAAGATAATTCTTCTTTATCTTCTTACTCAATGTTGGTCATCTATTCCTACTAAGTTCTCATCCAAATTGTGGGTGTTGATTTTCGACCTTACAACCAAACAAGAAACTTAGTTGTAGAGCACGCGGCAAAATAGTTTAAACCAAGCACTTGCCAACAAGAAGATAAGAATACTATGGTGCTCGTCCACCCGAGGGTATTCCGACAATCAAGGCCATAAATTTATCTCTCAAAGATATCAAATAAGTATTCAATGCACAAGCAAAAGCATATCTTAAACCCACGGGGGTGCCTCACTTTTATACCTAACTGTGTCCTCGTCCCCTAAAAGTCTTATTTTATAGGATTTAAGCACAATGCTTATCTCGAACTCTTAGTTAAATATGGATGAATTCCTCAAAAGTTTCATCCTTATTCGAACTAAGCACATCACTTATTTAAGACTCTCGTCTCCTATCCAAATATCTCGAATTCCGTTATTACTACACCAGATCTTGGTAATGCCACATTCATATCGGCAATCTGACTCGTCCACGTAGCACCTCGGCCAACACCTCAGCCACATGGCACGATCTCGAAAATACGTCCCCACACTAAGCTATTTTGGTTTGTTACCGTATAAAAATATTTTTTAGTTATATTATTTGAATGGTGATTTGTTTTTTTGACACAATTAAATGCTAGATTTAATTAATTTTTAAAATTTTCAACTCTTACAGTAATAAATGCTGTGAATTAAAGTTAATTATTCCCAAAAATGCAGTGAATGATATTCCTATGGGGTTGTAGCTCTGGAAATGATAAATTGTAAGTAACTAGCTTATGTAATACTAATTATAATATTTTATATTTTACAATTTTTAGTAAAGTTTAATTTGTAAAAGTCGTGAAAAAATAATTTAATTTTAGTAAGAAATTTTATGTGATAACAAAATCGGTGCTATTTCGTTGCTCGAAATTTAGTGGCCCTAATGGCCCTAAATTTTCATATAAGGCAAAAAAAAAAAAACAAGGCAGAAAAAAAAAAGAAAAAAAAAACAGACTTATCCCAAAAAGGAAATTAGGGCCATTAAGGCCACTGTTTTTAGGGCCACAATTCATTGTCCTAACAAAATACCTTTATCAAATTTTGAACCACATATAACTTGAGGTGTCATTTTTTGGCAATGATTTTTTTAGTCAAACTATTTGGCTCAATCATTGGCGTGCATTTCCAACACTGTACTGCTCTTCTCTTTTTTTTTTTCATCTAATTTAATTTTAAATTTGAATACAGAATTTGATTTGAATAAACTGCTCTGACTGTTTTATCAAATTCTCATCAAAATTATTTTAAAATTCTCCTTTTATCATAAATTTTCCTTTTCATTAAATTTGATACAAGATTTGGTGAATTTCCAATTTGATGAAAAAATATTTATCACTTAATTTAATAAATATTTAATGAAAGGATTAAAATAAATTATAAGCATTTTTTATCAAATTTAAAATGCTTTTATAAGGTAGAAACAACAATAAATAAATTATTAATTATTAAAAACCAGAAAATTGAGTACATTTTCAGTTCTAATTTTTAGAAAGGTACATCAAACGTGCAAATACTTACTGTCCGTTTGATTTAATTTTAAAATTATGATTTAAATGTAGAGTTGTAATTTAAGTGTGGAGTTATAAGTTGAATTTTAAAAACAGAAAATTTGTTTGGTTATGAATTTTGAAAAAAGTTTTAAAAAAAAATTTAAAATTTTAAATTTTGAAAAGAGTTTTGAATTATGTTTTGAAATTTTTTAGATTTATTTTTTTAAAATATTTAAAAATAGCCATTTTCAACCCCTCAAAAACTACCACATACATACATCATCACTTCTAAAACCAAAAACCATTCAACCACTGCTTCCCCACTCCAACCCCCCCTTCTCTACACCCAAAAAAAGAAACACATTTTCTACTTTTTCTTTCTTAGTTTGTCTTCTCCTAACCATGTATTCAGGTTTTCATGTTTGCCAAGAACTAGCTTTTCACCTCCACCTCCTATGTTACCAATTCTTTTTACTAGGCAGAAACATTGTACAAGACAAGAGAGGGCTTGAAATTTCTCAGTGCTTTGGTGAAACATTGTTCCCCATTGCAGGTGACCAGAAATCAGCACCATTGTTGTTTGCAATGTGTTCGGTACACTCTATCGGGACAAGACAGAGACCCCTGCTCCTCAGATCCTTTCTTGAATTGCCTTCCCCATTCTCTCCTTCTTCCTATCAAACCACAAAGGTAAAGGAATTATGAGAAAGCAGCATTGGACCGTGGTTAGATAATATAAAATCACAAATGGTTGAGCTAAACGTGAAGAATTTCATTGCTACACCATGGTTGAATTGGCACAATCATAAGGCCATTACCACGTTATTTCTGATTCAAAAGATGGATATGCAGATAGGCTTCTCATCTCTGAGCTATTATCACATCATCAAAATAAAAATTATATGTGAAGAACAAGAAATAGAAAAATTTTATTTTTTAGATATTTACAAATACTTTCTAAAAAAATACAACACACAAATATATAAAATATGTGCACATAAAATAATTAAATAGATATTTAAGATATAAAATATTTACTCTAAAAAAATAAAATTAAGAAAATTTTTAAATATTTAAAAAAAATAAACCCAAAAAAAATTTAAAATACAATTCAATACTTTTTTCAAAATTTGTAACCAAATAAATTTTCTCTTTTCAAAATTCAATTCATAACTTAAAATAAAACTTCACACTCAAATCATGATTCTAAAAATAATTTTAAAAATCAAAATAATTTTTTTTTTTTTTTAAAATGGAGTTTTGAAAAGAGTTTGGTTTTAAGTTTTGAAAAGAATTTTGAATCGTGTATTTGATTATGAATTTTAAAAATAATTTTTGAATTAAATTTTAAATAATTTTGAATTGTGTGTTTAGTTACGAGTTTTAAAAAGAGTTAATTGGAATTGTGAATCTAAAAGAGAACCAAACATGTTCATTTGAAATGTGAGTTGACTTTTTGATTATTTAATTTTTTGACTATTTTAACATAGAGTTAAAAGTCTCATTTGGGATTTTTTTTTGACTATTTTTTTGACTTAAATTTTAACATGTTCTCTTTTTTTTGACTATTTTTTTGATTTTTTTTTTAAACTTTTGTGAGAGAAAAAATAAAATAATTATGATTTGAATGTGACATTTTATCTTATTGAGTTAAAAATTCAATTTTATATTTTTGTAATTATTTTAACCAAAAACCTCATTTTAACTTATGCCAAGCAAAAGATAAATTATTTGACTTCCAAAAAAATATATCAAATCCCACAAGTTCGGCATAATTATATTAGGTTTTTTAAGTTTTAATTCTTATAACATATGTTATATGTTCTCCGTTTATTAGACATTAGCTAGTCGTATAAAATAATTTTTTTTACACAAAAATGTGTATTTTATTCTAAATTAATCTTGTGCTTATAGACAACTTGCATTTGTTTTATTTGTTTTGTTACACACGCTATGTAGTGAAAATGTGATTAAAAAACAAGCAACAAAAAGGTACTTCATCCATGAAGTGGGCTGGCACCGTTCTCTCCTGTGTATTAAAATTCTTCTAAAAACATTGGGACTAACCACAAGGATCATGGCAAGAACTCGGGACCAGCTTAGCAGATCAACTTAAAAGTAAACAATTTAGAAGTCAAGATAGATGTAATGTTTGCCATAATCCTCCTCACCAAAAGCCGAAGGATCACACCTTAGTACCATCTACTCGATTGCAAGTACCTGCTGAGAAGATGGGGTGTGAGTACAATCAAGCATGTTTACAGGGAAGCAACTGCCTGAGCAGATATTCTAATGGCTAAAAGACAATGAAATAGTAAGACTTCTCACTACATGCACAGCTCGATTCTGGCTTGTGTCCAACAACTATATATGCTGATGATATTGTAATGTCAGTTTCTGTTGATAAAATCCTATTATGTACTAAAAGCAAGGTGGAAGCTCACCTTCCATGATGAAACTGATCAAAGTTTGAATGTTGGGACTTCACAGTCGAAGCCATGCATTGCCTGGTAAATTGTCTGAGGCAATATATTCCTATACGGATCATGTTCCCTTTTGTCCTTCAAGTAAGCCATGCATCTCTCAACCTCAGACTTCACTTCTAGATACAACTCTTGTGATTTATCCCTATTCCTTAATTCCCGCTTCCTCCCTTCACCAAAATAATAGCTGGATTACAACTACAAGAAATACACCCCATCAAGGATAAAAGATGAAAAGCAAATATGCATAAACATTTATTCTATGTTTGGATCTTAGATTTGTAAAGGGATTTGTAGAGGCAAAATGAAAGGAAGAGACTTGTGACAAAAATTTAGTGTCCATTTCCTTTAAAGAATTTTTTTTTTTTCTTTCACAAATTCCTTTCCTATTCTTTTTCCACAAATCATCCAATGGAATGTGTCATTCAAGTAGTTTCAAATCTTGCATTTAATAATACACTTAAGAAAAAGCATCATCAAACCCACTGCAAAAAGAAGATGTAGCATAATAAGCTAATTAATGAAAGCATCATCATTAACATTAATCTGGAGAAATCTGGTTCATGCTTGAGATTCCATTTCTAACAAGTGAAAGATACAATTAGCACATCTCTTTTTTTATGGTGGGTTATCTCTCTTAAAAAAAGGGGAACTCAAGACAACTGGTGCTTATGGTTAATCTGTCCTGCAACAAAGACAACAGAGGGTTTTTTTTTTTTTTTTTTTTTTTCCCCCCCGTTTTTTAATAAGCGACAGAGAATAGAATCATTGGGATGGCTAAAATCTGCTCAACTAGTGATGACTGATTGTGCGTAAGTCTGAAGTGGGCACAATTGAAAACAGATCTCAGTCTAGATTTAACACATTCATCTTTAATTTGATCACAATTTAGTTCATTTCTAGATTTAACACATTCATCTTTAATTTGATCACAATTTAGTTCATTTATGCTGTGTTTGGTTGGGGGATTTGAGGAGAGATTTGGAAAGAAAAATGGAAAAAGTAGGTGAAATGAGAATAAAATATGCCTAAATTTCACATAGTTTTACACACCTTTTCCCTTTCCCTTTCCAAATCCCTCCTCAAATCCTCCAACCAAACACAGCATTAAAGACTCGTAAGATCAGTTTTTTGATATTCTCAGACAGCCAGGCAGGTGCAAAAAATGCTTCCAAGATGTAACTTCAATTTATATCTTTCCACACATATATTCAAGTGTCTGGGAGATTCAATTTTCAGTAAGCATACCTTCTGTTTCAATTGGCTTTCCAAAGAGGTTATAGAAACGGCCTGGAAGTTTTGTTAGAATAAGTGGAAGGTGTGGATCTTGGTTGTCAAGCTCCCCATCATCGTCAGTCCTATAATCAAAATATTACAATGATATTTAAACAAAGAACCCCACAATAAATAGGAAAAACCGAATAAAGTCCATCAAATACAACAGTGGAATTTCGAAGTCATACACATTTTGAAGTGGACAGAATATGTTCATATTTGAGCAGTATGCAACCGTAGTGTACTGAAGTGGTTTGATCAAATATCAATAGTTCAAAGTAGGTGACCAATTATGGACAAGGAAACATTTAGGGTTCAGTTCTTACTATAAGAAATTGAGAGAGATTGAGAGAGCAAATATTAGCTCTGTGTGTTTGATGTGTATTGCAACCAAATGGAACCTCCATTATATAGGAGATGGTTTACAAGACATAATGATGACTACCTTCCAAAGTTCTCTCCCCAATGTTTTGTTAATTTTTATGGTCATATCAGGTCTCCATCCAGCCTTCTGAACTGAAGTGCCTGCTTTATGTCCATCTGTGAACTTGCCACTCATTTTATATCAAAAAAGTAAAGTCAACAGCAACAGTTTTGATTGATGGTGTTTTGAGTACAGAAGTCAACAATGTGTGTTTATATGGACTTCTATCACTCCTGAGATGCTCTACTCACTCTGGATATTGTCATGGGCTTAAGGTTATTTAATAATTGACTTCAAATGCCTCGTACAATATAAAAATTTCTCTTTTTTTTATGAACAATAAGCAAAGTAAACGAAGTGATGAGGGCATCTTTTCCTTTCAAAAGTGGCTAAATTAAATATCCATTTATTTGGCTACAAATTTGCTTCCTCCACCCAATCTCCATAGTTTACAACTACTTTTTTTTTTCTGCCCAAATGAAAATTTAATTCAAGTCTAGCTTCTTGTTCAGCTTTTCCACTTTGGTGCCATTTAATAATTAGAGACTTTTGATAATAATTCAAGTCAATTTGATTCGGTGTACAGATTCAAGCTTCAACACCGAGCATAAATCAAATAAGTGAAGCAATTGGAAAGTATGAACTACTAAATCATACAAGGCTGGGGACTAAAAGCATGGGAATGGAAGCATTACAGAGTATAATAACAAAAGTACGTAAAAACATCTTAAAGTACCTCGATTGCAAGACTGCTTCTGCCACTTCTTTAATCTTAGCCTTAATATGAGGAACCTTCATTAGGTCATCATAATCAACAAGCAACTAATGAAAAAGAGAATTTGGTATAAGCAGCACAAATATGACAAGTAATGCTTTATTAGTGAATATTTTTTTAATATAGATTTTATTAAAAAGATGTAAGGGGGAGCCGCCTAAATATTCTATAAGAAATGAGAGCAAAATCCAATTTACTATCCCGTGGTTTGGCCTCGGAGCACTTTAACCCCTTGTCACTTGAATATGGCTATAAAGGCCCCATGTGGTATTGGACTAAAGTGCACCATTAACTTCGTTAATGACTTTTTTTTAATGACATTAATAATTCTCTATCTTTTTTTTCTTCTTTCTTTTATCTTCTCTCTTTTATTTTCAAATATATAACTAATCTTAACTTAACCATATATATTTTTGAGCAGCAACAAGAAAATTTATTAAAAATAAAAGCACAGAAGCACAACTGAGGGAGGACAAGATGTCCACTATACAGGAAAAAAAAAAAAAACAAGCAAACAAACAAACAAAAAACCTCACACTCTACATATTGCTCTCCAATCCCTAGCAATAAGAAATAGTGGAATCCCTTCAAAGGAAGGAGCTACTGACGCCCAAAAGGAAGCGATATAAACCAATTTCTCCCGAATAGACTGCAAGTTGGCAAATTTCTCCTCTAAAACTCTAGGATTCTTTTCAAGCCATAATACCCAAAAGACTGCAAGAACAACACAATATATTAACTTAACCATATATTAACCAATAAAACCACATATTTCTCTAATCTAATTCCTAACATTTTAACTTTATTTCTAATTTTTAAAATTTTAACCTTTTAATCTTATATTAGATTATAACATATACACATAATACATACAAACACATATAGATTGTGTATGTGTACGTATATATACACACATAGAACGAAAGACAGAAAAATGAATGCTTGCTTGTTGATCTTCTTTTAATCAATGAATGCCATCACGTAAAAACACTACAGAGAATCATAGAACACAGATCCAACATGCATCGCATAACCAAATCCAAAAATCCAACGTGTAGATTTGCAGTCATGGGAAGGGGGTAGCAAGTTGGATGAGGGAGTGGGAAAGGAATAGGCTGCAGGGACTAGGCAGGGGAAAGGGGGAGGTGCAAGGTGGCAGAGGAAGTGGGGGAGAAGGAAGGGGTGGTAGAGGGGAGAGGGGGGTGAAAGGGAAATAGGAAGGGGTATATCCGTTTTTTGAGCAAAAACACCAAGAAGACAATTGTTGGTTGTGTAGTGGAAACTAACAAATGACAACATAGGAAGCCATCAAGAAAATTATGGTTCCAGGCTTACTTGACCAATATCATCTTCTCCAACAGATCCGAAAGGTATAATTGTTGCTCCAAATCTAGCTGCCATCCTCACAAATTCAGACTGTTCTGGCCAGAACAACTTGTATTCCTCACCCTGGGAAAGAAAAAAAAAAGATCCATATTTATATCCTTACGTTAAAACGGTTGAAATTACTCCATAACAACATGCTTCAAGAACCTTTTTTTTTTTTTTTTTTGATCAGCAAAATGGGGGGGGGGAACCCCTTAAATTAGAAGACAATATAGGGGAAAGATCTCATCATAAATACTATTCTTCAGTCCAAAGATCTTTCCTCATGAATTTTTGAAAAATAAAGAAGTTTATTATCCACTTGACTAATTTTTTTTTTTTGGTTGATAAATTCCACTTCACTATTTTTCTCTCTTCCAAATATTGTTATATTATGAGGCAAGGAAGGTAAGAACTAATGAGATGGTATCACATACAACTAGTGCAAATCAAATAATCAAATGGTACTAATTAGGTTGTAAGGAAAAAATACATCCAACAACTAACTTGGCGATTGAGGAAGGATGCAACTTGTAGACTCACCTTTCGATGAAGAGCCTCGCGCATGCCTCCTGGATACAGCAGCACATGGGCATTTGAAGAAAGAAGTTTATAGAAGTTAGTCACTGATACAGGAACTGCACCCATGATTCTGAGTATGTCATATGTTGATATATCAGGTATTAAAGGTGATTCTCCATTTCTCAAATTCCTATACATCATTGGATGTGCTATCCCTCGCAAGAGAATGTTTCTTTTAGCCCAAAAACTGGACACAATAGGCATCATTTCTAACCCTAGTAACATGTGATAGCCAACAAGCAAGACTGGTCCCTCAGAAGGAATCCCTGAAAGGCCTCTCACAACCTTTCCATCCTCTAAAGTTGAGAGCATCACCGGACTAGTAGCCACCTCTATCCATCTAAAATTCACCATATTCACAATGCAATAAAACATTAAGTGTTAATAGTATTCTACAAATATTAATCACATAAGCTCCTCAAACCTTCAAAAAAATGGAAATTACTAAAGTAAGATATGAGTGTCATCCACTAATGGAAAAGCTCATTCACACACACAAAGAATGAAGCTACCAATAAGATTCTCTGAGTTGATCTCTTAGGAATAAAAATTAACCGTTCGAAATAAACATAGGCACTTGTACCACTACCTAACATTGTTACTGTAAATATGATGTTTTGGTTCTATAAACATATATATCTAAGAGATAGGATCATAACCAGATTTCTTTGGCTGGCCACCAAATAGTATGTCCTGTGCCCATGTATATTCAGGGATATACCATTGATAGAAAATTTGGCACCCCGAATACACCATTGTTATCAACGCAGAAAATTCATCATAGTATCAAGGTTGTTTTGAAACACAACATACCTCAATGATTCATGTATTTTTTTTAATTCAGAAGGGCTTGGTGGCAAGTAATCTGAGGCATAGTCAAGGTATCTTGCACGATGATAAAAACTAGTACCCATTATGATAGTTACAAGATCAACACCATCTTCCTGTTACATATTGGTAGAACTATAAATATATCAACAAAAAAACTTCTACGATGGTGGCTAATCAAGTCATATATTCCTTCAATCTAAACATTGTCTCAGGCTTCGTAACATGTAGTTCTATTGCAGGTCCAAAATATCCAAAGACGAGAGACAAAATTTAACATGACGATTATGGTAATTCTAAAGAATTATACTACAACAGTGGATTGGAATTATACTAGCAATTATCAAATGTTATTTACCTAGTCAGGCATATACTAAACAGTATTCTATGTAGCAGCATGTCATAACAAAATTTCAGTCTTCTCTATATAGGGTATTCTACTTGCAAAGTGCACAACTTTCTTCAACATGTTAGCAAATGGTTGACAGCATGAAGTTATTGTAGGACAATCTTCACTGTATTTAAAAAGATTTAATTCTGTTTTGTACAAAACAACAACAAGAATAAAAGAAATAGAGAAAAGGAGAGAATATGTTTGATTACTAAAATCAAACTCGAAATAAAAATAAATAAATAAAAAAACAGATTTTATTTTGTTACAAAAACAAAATTAAAATCTGAATAAATAAACAAATAAAAACAACACTGAAAGTAATTAAATAACTTACTTGATTTAATTTCTTCGAATTATTTTTCTGATCAAGTCCAGTGTTTAACACTGTGTCCTTAAGACAGATTCGTCATCTCCACGGTGCTTTCAGAATTCGGACGTCTATCTCCCAGGATAAAATGATCTACTACAAACAATAGCAGCACTACAAATTGTTTGTCTAACGAACACACTAAGTGTTTATACTCTCTCTGACAAGAAAATAATGCAGCAAAATGAAGAGGATGTTTGCAGAATTATGAAGGACGAAAATTTTAGTTCTCTAAATTCAAATGAGGGCTGTCCTATTTATAGATGGAATAGTGGTTGTAGGTTTTGAATTGAACCTGGAAGAACATTGGCAGCTCTTCCAAATATGAAGACTGAACCAAGCAATACATACTATACATTCTTGTGGTGGTTATAATTTGAGCTTTGCATGGAAAGCAATGAGAAAGAAGAGGCCTGCTGTAATATGGCAGAAAATGGTACTAAAAATCCATAAAACCCCTAGCAGTATTTACTGAATGATTAGATATTATAGAGAAGCTGACAACCGAAGATAAACTCCAGAAATGGCGCTTATTAGGTGACAACACCTGTCGGCTATGAGAAATTCAGCAAAAACTACTCAACACTTAAATTCTAAATGAACGGAAGTCTCTCAGCTGAATTCTGGATTTTATTTTAATAAAAAATAAAATTAAATTCAAATGTTTTTGGCCCAAAAAGATTAGAAGCCCAACCACGCACCTGCGTGTGTGGTGATTTTTGGGTCCAATGGGTCTAGCCCATTTTGCCCATAACCTCTCCCTCTAAAACACTTGGGTACCCCTTGGGGCACACCCCAAGTATCTCACCCTAAGCCTTATAAACCCTTTCAAAACCTCCCACCAAATCAATGTGGGACAAGCCAATTTACAACCTTAAGGGATTTCCACCAAAACTCCATTTTCATGGAGCACACTTTGGCTTCAATTTCCCATTCACTCGGTAATGGTTTTGAGCAACCAAATATACCACGTGAATCACAACGCGGCATAGAACGCGTTACCACTTTGACCCGAGTAAATCGACACTCGGGGCCCACCTAAAAAATAGACCAAACTTGAGGAAAAATTAACTATTTCCAACAGTTATGTGATATTGAAAGAACAGCTTTTTGTCTCCTCCTTCGAAACATTAGTGTGGAAATTATCTAATATTGATTTCTGAGAGGTTGGTTTAAAAGAATCAATGCAAAACAACCTTGTCACACACAGATACAGAAATTTTCAAAAAATATAAGACTAGACACATGGGGACACACACAAAATATATAGTTTCACATATTTTGTTGTCCATTGTTTGCATTGCTTCATTCCATGACCATCCCAGTTACAATTAGATGTTTCTCAAGGGAATTTTTGTTTTGGTAGGTTTGCAAACCCAGGACAAATTCTGTACAAGAAAAGTAAACACAGGTAAACACTATTGTTTATTTTGTTAGTTCCAGAACAGCTCAAAGAGCACATTATCTCTATCAAGGTTGCTCCTAGGCCTGCACATGGGGGGGAAGGGGGCTTCATCATACCAAGAAAAAGGCATGACCGCTCGCATCAAATTTACAAATCTCACATCTCGGCAGCACACGATGAAGTATTTCACCTTCCGCTTCACTTGGTAGTAATTGATCCTTCCCACTGTAAAGACAAACAGAAACAAAATCCCATAATATGAAAAGAGTAGTAGTGAAAACAAGCATGATAAAACAAAGGAATCAATGTTCTTCCAAAAGTTTCAAAAAAACACAAAAATAAAAATCTTAAATATGAAGTCTTGGGCAGCTGAAACTTCAAGAGAAGAAGCAGAGCCTCAGGATCACATCATGAACACTTCTTAAATAGACAAAAGGATACGACCTCATCACAGAAACATTACTAGTTTTCTAACTGTTAGAATGTGTGTGTTTATGTTGAGTAAGGGTATTATGGTCATATGGCTAGATTGTATTTCATATAAATATTTTGATGCTCCAGTCCTAAAAACAGATGTTGAATAACAAAGTTGCTGCTTCTTGTTATTCTTTCCCTTTCTCTTTAATCCAAGTTTTTCATACTTTTGCACTTCAACTTGGTATCAGAGTGCCGATTCTACCTTGCCAAATGATCATCAGACTCTGGAAAATTTTCTAAAGTGACAAAAACGTGCAACATCAGAATCTGTACGGACAAGTTGGGCACTCTAGGATCATTTTTCCTTTCTAAGTTCAATGGTGATTTTTTTGGAATTGTTTTAGGCCATTTGATGTAAGTTTCGATTTTTTGAATGTTTTTAAAGCTTTTTGGGTAAAAATCTGCGATCTGCGATTTTGCTGTTTATTTTCCATGTTGGCCTACTGGGCTGCCTTCCTTAAGGTGCGAAAATAGCTATTTTAATCATCCTTGGGTGTTGTTTTGTGCTCTGGTGATGTTTGCTTGGAGTTTTGGTGGATTTCGGGTTATTCCTTGTTAAGTAGAGGCTGTTTTGCTTCTCTGTAGCTGTTTTCCTTCTTTATTGCTGGTTGTTGGACTTGTTTGTTGCTGGTTATTGGCTTTCTTGGTGTTCCTTTGGATATTTGTTGCCATCCCTGGTCTTTTTTTTTTTTTTTTTTTGCTGATTACTGCTCATTTTGGTGTTATGGCTGAAACAAAACCTGCTACCCCATCCTCTATGATTAAGGATGATGAGTTATCCAAGTCCATTACCACTAAGAAATTAAATGGTTTGAATTATCTTGCTTGGGCCCATGCCGTTAAGACCTTCTTGCGTGGCAAGACGAAATCACGTTTATGAAAACCAATTATAACCTTTAAAAGGTTATGGTCCCTATTCATTCCCAAGAGTGAAAAAACAAGAATAATGTTTTGTTTTCTAAATCCTCTCAAGGAGAAACATAAGGCACATAAGGGAAAGGATTAGAAGGCTCTAACAAAGTCAATATTAAGGTTTTATTGACAATCAGACACTTCCGTTTAACCGTTCATCATTGGATTCAGGTATGTCATTTTGTCTTGATCTCTTGATAATATACATGGTAAATGATCCAAAGTGTAAGGTTTATGTTCTGAAATTTTATGTTTACACTTCCATCTGCTAAGGATGATAAATGCTATGATGATTGGTTGAGTGAGGATTCCTATGTTATGGGGTTGCTTTAGCATAGTTTGGAGCCTAATGTTGCTACTACAGTAGAATTTTGTGACACCACTAAGGCCATCTGGGACTCCCTTGCTAAGTCGTTTTCCAATAAGAGTAATGTCTCTCGAGTTTATGAGTTGTATGAGCAGATCTTTGCTACCTAGTACCTAGTAGTCTGGCCATCCTCTTGCTGACTATTACAGTGGCCTTAAGACCTTGTGGAACCAATTATTGCGACACCGACCTTTTACTACTGATTTGGCTCAACAAAAGAAATATTGGAAGGAGTTTATGATGGTATCCTTACTTTTGGGATTAGATTATGATCTACGGGGTTTCAAAGATCAGATTCTTGCCAGTAAGACTTTATCTTCTGTTGCTAATGCCTATTCTCGATTGTTGCGTTCTTCTTCGGGACAAGGTTCTTCCACAGTTGGTTCCTCTCAGCCCTTGTCCTCTTCTACCTTGATATCTAGCAGTGGTAACCGTAGGCCCCATCGGGGTAGTTTTCATGGCAGCTCTAGTTATCGTGGATCCCATTCCGGTTCCCGTGGTTTTCGTGATAGTCATTATTCTCATGGATCCCGTGGTGGTGGTGGACGTGGTACTGGTTCTATGTCCCGTGATGATCAGACGTGTACTCATTGTGGTTCTTTGGGTCATTCTGAACCTTGATGTTGGCAGAAGTATGGTAAACCTGATCATGAAAATCAGGTTATGGATACTCCATCCTCTCAATCGACTCCCTCTCCCTCTGGTCCACGTGCTTCCCCAGCTAATTCTCATGATGCACTCAACACTCAAATTAACAAGCTTACTAAGATAGCCAATTCTCTCCGTACTACTATTCCTTCATCCTCTACTGCTACATTGGCTAGCTCAGGTAAGATTGCATGTATGGCTCAATCCCCCCAACCTTGGCTTCTAGACTCTAGTGCTAATTCCCATATCTCTGGTAATTCTCTTCTTTTTCATTCTCTTCGTCCGGTTACCCATAATATTATACTTGTTAATGGCTCCTCTCGACCTGTTAGTAGCTAAGGCACTCTTCTGCCCACTTCATCTCTCCTTACCCTTGAGTCTATATGTTACCTCTTTTCCTTTTTATTTGCTTTCTGTGAGTCAATTAACTAAAGCTCTAAATTGCTCTGTAACCTTTCCTCCTTCTTCATGTGTTTTACAGGACCTCCAGGTCAAGAAGATGATTGGTTCGGGGTATGAGAAGGATGGCTTATATTTCTTGGGCACTGCTGGCTCTCCTACTCCCAGTTCTACTGTTTTGAGTGCTACTGTGTCTCCCTTACAATGGCATTTCCGTCTGGGTCATGCATCTTTGCCCAAGCTTAAGTTAGCTATTCCTGGTTTAAGTCATGTGTCTTCGGTTGAATGTGAGGCGTGTCAGCTTGGCAAGCATCACTGTAGTTCATTTCCTAGTCGTAGTATTAGTCATGTGTCTGCGTCTTTTGATGTAGTCCATACAAATATATGGCGACCTTCTTGTACTCCCACTGTTAATTATTTTTTTAATTTTCTTATTTTTGTGGATGATTATTCTCGGATGACTTGGTTGTTTTTCCTATGACAGCGGTTTGACTTGCCCCAAATAATTTCTAAGTTTTATAATAAAATTTTTACTCAATTTGACAAACATATCAAGATATTTTGGTCTGATAATACCTTAGAATATGTGCAATCTGTTGTGAATACCTTTTGTGATGTTCGTGGTATTATGCATCAAACTAGTTGTGCTCATACATTCCAACAAAATGATGTTGTTGAGTGGAAACACTGCCATTTGTTAGATGTAGCCCGGACCTTGATGTTTGACATGGATGTTCCCAAACAATTTTGGGACGATGCTGTGCTTACTGCCTGTTCACTTATTAACCGAATGCCATCTGCTGTTTTACAAAACCAATCTCCCTTCTCTCAACTATACCCCAATTGTTTTCCGTTTCCTCTTTCACCTCGTGTTTTTGGTTGTGTGGCCTTTGTTCATGTGCTTGATCCGGAACTAGATATGTTAGCTCCCTGTGCTCGCAAATGTATTTTTTTAGGTTATTCCCGTACCCAGAAAGGTTATCGTTGCTATCATCTTGAGTCTTGTCGGTTCTTTATCAGTGCCGATGTTACTTTTTTTGAGTCTACCTCCTCCTTTTCCTCTTTTGGTCAGCAATTGTCGGCTGATCTTATCTCTTGTCGTGAGGGGAAGCCATCTTTTCCCACTCCCACTCCTACTCTTCCAATGTCGTTTGTCCCCCCATCCTCTTCCATTAGATTAGATTCTTCGCCTTCCTCTCCTCTACAGGTTTATCAGTCGTCCCAAACTCGTCACATCGTTTCTTATGGCCCAGCTACTTCATCTTCTTTGTCAAAGGTTCCTATCCCTCTTCTATCTATGCCACTTGATGATAATTTACCTATTGCATTGCGCCAAGGTAAATGTACTTGTACTAAGCATCCTATCTCCTATTTTGTTTCTTATACTCGTCTTTTTCCTAGTTTTTACTCCTTTGCCTGTAGCTTGCCCTGTCTTTCTATTTCCTGTTCTTATCAACAGGCTATGTCTATGTCGGGTTGGAAACATGCTATGGATAAGGAAATGAGTGCTCTTTATCAAAATCAAACCTAGGAACTTACGCCTCTACGTTCTGGGAAACCCACTGTTGGCTGTCGTTGGATTTATACTGTCAAGTACCTTCTTGATGGTATTGTTGAGCGGCTTAAAACCCGTCTAGTGGCCAAAGGTTATACTCAAACCTATGGCGTTGATTATCTGGAGACCTTCTCCCTTGTGGCTCGCCTTAATTCTGTTCGGATTTTACTTTCGCCAGTTAGTCTTGGCCTTTATATCAGCTTAATATAAAGAATGTCTTTCTTCATGGCGATCTCACCAAGAAGGTCTATATGGATCGGTCCCTTGGCTATATTATTATTAGTATTGAGCATCTGGTTTGTCGGTTACAGAAGGCTTTATACGGTCTCAAGAAATCTCCTTGTGCTTGGTTTGATAGCTTTAGTAAAGTGGTGCTTGCCTATGGGTTCCATCGTTCCACTTCTGATCACTCTGTTTTTGTTTATCACTCATTTGCCGGGGTTATTGTTCTCATTATCTATGTGGACGACATCATCATCTCTGGTAGTAACTCCACTGGTATTGCTAACCTGAAGATTTATTTGGGTTCGCAATTTCACACTAAGGATTTGGGTTATTTACGGTACTTTCTTGAGATTAAGACTGCTTGCTCCTCTCAGGGTTTAGTTCTTTCTCAACACAAGTATGTTCTTGATCTCCTTTCTGAGATTGGTCTCCTTGGCACTCATTCTAGTGATACTCCTATGGACTCCTCGATTAAACTTGATGGTGAGACCAACGAGTTGTTTCTTGATATTGGTCAGTATCGTCGTTTAGTTAGGAAATTGATTTATCTTACTGTCACTTGTCCAAATATTACTTATGCTGTGAGTGTTGTTAGTCAATTTATGCATGCTCTTTGTCAAGCCTATTTTGATGTTGTGTGTC